CAAACAATGAATCATGGAACACTACATCAAAAACTAATGATGTAATGTATGGTGATTAACATAACAATAAAAAATTATTTTAAAAAAAAGAATGAGAAAAGCAAGTGCAGAGAAGGGTGTATATTATAATTTTCATTTTTATAACACAAATTATGTTTAAAAACCTATGGACCAATGTGTATATACTTTGTATGTTTATCTTTGTATGTACATGTGTATATGATTTTATGAACATGGAGAAAAATATTCAACGATACACATTAGTAAATCAACATGGGTTACCTGGGTAGAGAGTGGGTAAAGGAAGCCAAGCAAAAAAGGAAAAATTTTAAAAGATCATATAAATGGAAAGAATAACTCATTCTTTAAGGAGTTGCTTTAAAACATTGTCATGTAACTATATAATATGCTGTGATACTGTAGAAAGTGTAACGTACTTACAGTCAGAATATCTAGGCTCAGTCTCAGCCCCACAGCTCATTAGCCATATGGCCTTAATCAAATGCTTCACCTCTTTGGGTCTGTTGTTCTTTAAAATGGAAATAATGAAACCTACTTTATAAAACTTTGGTGCAGATCAAATGAGAACATACACGTGAAAGTAACCAGAATAGTGTTTGTTCTATTATAGATGTTCAGTAAATCTACTATTTTCCTTCTTCCCTTTAAAAATATTTGACTTCCGCAATGTAATTATTTACTTTTAGACTCTGTGTAGCAATCCAAGAAGCCACCCAATTAAGAGCACAAAAAACACATTTGGAAAAACAGACTAGAGAATTACAAGCAAAGTGCAATGAATTAGAAAACGAAAAATATGAAGCTATTGTAAGAGCCAGAAATAGCATGCAGCTTTTAGAAGAAGCTAACCTTCAAAAAAATCAGGTAAGAAAACTAGTAAACATGTTTACAAATAATATAATATGACATAATAAGGGAGTCAATAATTACAGAATGAACACATGAAAATGAAACTGCTTTGCTCTCCATTAACAGACATATTCTTCATGGTAAGACTTAATCATAAAACATGATAAAATGGGGGCACCTGGATGACTCAGTTGGAAGAGCATGGGACTCGATCTCTGGGTCATGAGTTTAAGCCCCACATTGGGTGTAGAGATAACTAAAAAAACAATAAAATAAAATACGATAAAATGTCAAACCTTTTCCCAAAGCTTTCATATCAGATCTTATGTCTCCAATCCTGATGTAAATAATACTCATCTTCTATAGTCTCATACTTTAAAAAATCTGCTATAGTACTTTAATGCAGTATACCCTATATTTTATTCAGTTGAATCAGATTAATCTTACTCATCTTCATTACCCCTTCATCACTTACATAATTACTCTAATAGAGCAGAAGCTTAATTGACAGGAATTAAATTTAGCTGTAAAGATTTATTAACTAGAACCTTCATGTCACTGTTCTTTTTTTAACCCTCTAACAATTGTGATTCCTATGCTATCACATATTATAGTTTTTTTCTTTTATTACTTCCATATAAATGGTATATAGTTCATAGAGGTCACCAAGTGGATAGATTTGTTTTTAATGTTCTTGCCTCCTTTATTTAGAGATCATTAAATCATTACTTCATTTAACCAACATTTATTGAATACCTAACATATGCATAATTACTGGGAAATATGGGGAGTACAAAGGAAATGCTTTATTTACGTTTCCTTTTTTACATAGTAGAGGGTTTTTCAAGAGGGCTGTTAAAAATGAAACAAGCTATATAAGTCACATATTAAGAAGCTAATAAGTAAAAAGGAAATAATATTCAAATCTAAACCTTGAGAATGCAAAGGTGCTTGTCATGCCTTTCAGCTAATAATTTCATCTGTGATTTGAATACTGTCTCTTAGAATGGTTGAGAGGCACAACATAGACATAATATGCTTGGGAATTGCTCTAAACTCTAAGTTAGCTAAAACATCAGAGCAAGACAAAATTGTTTATCTTTCCCCTCTGAAGCCTAGTCATATGAGCATTGTTAATATCAGGTCACTAAAGATGAACATTTTGTGTAAAGCACAATGGACAGAGAAGTAGCTATATTCATTGCCTATCCCTTAAATCTACTCACTCAGGTCCAAAGTCAACAGACCCTTAAAGAGCCCGTTTATGGCTACAGTATTAAGCTCCCTCCTGACCCACTGTTTAATTGTTATAGAAGTCCCACCTTTAGTTGCTTGTTCCAGAAAGTCAAGGATTCTCTCCCCTGATCATAAAAACAGACATCAAACACAGCCTATTATTGTTCTTTTATGATGCTTCCCTATTTCTTCATTGTCCCGTTCTCTCCCGCAAAATTGTTACATCAAAACAGCTGTTACTGTATAATTTACAATAGCCAGGACAATGGAAGCAACCCAGTTCCCATCCATATGTGAATGGATAAAGATGTGGTGTATATATACAATTGAACATTACTCAGTCATAAAAAGAATGAAATCTTGCCATTTGTAATGACATGGATGGACCTAGAGGGTCTAATACTAAGCGAAGTAAGTCAGAGAAAGACAAATACCATATGATTTTACTTATGTGGAATTTAAGAAACAAAACAAATGAACAAAAAGAGACAGACTCTTAAATATGGAGAACAAACTGGTGGTTGAGGGAGGGCAGGTGGATGGGGAGATGGGTGAAATAGGGGAAGGGGATTAAGAGTACACTTAGCGGGACGCCTGGGTGGTTCAGTCGGTTAAGCATCTGCATTCAGCTCAGGTAATGATCCCAGAGTCCTGGGATCGAGTCCTGCATCGGGCTCCTTGCTCCGCAGGAAGACTGCTTCTCCCTCTCCCACTCCCCCTGCTTGTGTTCCCTCTCTCGCTGTGTCTCTCTCTGTCTCTGTCAAATAAATAAATAAAAATCTTAAAAAAAAAAAAAAGAGTACATTTATCATGATGAGCACTGAGTAATGTATAGAATTATTGAATCATGGGTGCCTGGCTGGCTCAGTCGGTAGAGCACGCAACTCTTGATCTCAGGGTCATGACTTCAGCCCCCACGTTGGGCATGGAGCCTACTTAAAAACAAAGAAATAAAAAATAATTTAAAAAAACCCTGCTGAATCATTATATTGTACACCTGAAATTAATATAACACCCTATTAATTCTATTTGAATAAAAAATAGCTGTTAATTCTCACTAGCTTACCTATTTAAGCAGGAAGAAATTTGTTAAACAATTTAAAAAAAAACATGGGAATGTGTATGGCATCTTTGGAAGGTAGTGGGATCAGAACACAAGGCCATTTATTATGTAGATAAAAAAAAAGAGGTTCAGTCAGGCCTAAAATTGGAGCAGTTTCAGGCTCAGAAAGATATTTTTGGTTTTTTTAATTTTTTATTTAAATTCAATTAGCCAACATATAGTATAGTACATCATTAGTTCCAGATGTAGTGTTCAGTAATTTATTAGTTGTATATTAACACCCAGTTCAGAAAGATATTTGGTCTAGAGATAAATTTGGGAGTTGTTAGCATATAAATGATATTTAAAACCACGATACTGGATTAGACCATTAAGGGACAGATGAAGATAAAGGACTAAGGACTTAAGTCTTGGGTAGTACTATTTTTATTTGTTTAATTCAGCTTTTATTTTAATTCCAGTATAGTTAACATACAGCATTATATTAGTTTCAGGTGTACAATATAGTGATTCAGCAATTCCATACATCACCAGTGCTCATCACTTCACATGCACTTCTTAATCCCATCACCTGTTTCACCCACCCCCCCAACCTATCTCCCCTCTGATGGGTAGTGCAATTTTTTTTTTTAAGATTTTATTCATTTATTTATTTGAGACAGAGAGAGTGAGAGAACTGGAGCAGGGGGAGAGGGACAGTGGGAGAGGAAGAGTGAGAAGCGGACTCCCCACTGAGCAGGGAGCCCAACACAACACAGGGCTCGATCCTAAGGACCCTGGGATCAGGACCTGAGCTTAACCAGCTGAGCCACCCAGGTGCCCCTGGTAGTGCAATTTTTAAAGAGGTTCAGGAGAAGGGGAAGAAACAGCAGTGTAGACTAAAAAGGATTGATCAGTGAATTAGGAGGAAAACCAATACTGTGGTGTGCTGAAAGCCAAATAAAGAAAGTAAAACAAAGAAAAGAGAGTAATCAGTTATCTCAAGTGCTGCTAACAGATCAAATAAGATAGTTTATTCGAATTTGACTCATGGGTTATTAATGGAGACTATGGATGGTGAAAGCCTGATTGGAGTTGGTGTAAGAGAGAAAAAGTATTGGAGATGAGCAAACACAGACTTTAAAGGAGTTTTGCTCCAGAGGGGAGCAGAGAAATGAGGTGTGACTGACAACAGAACTGGGATTATAAGAGTATTTTTTAGTTGGGAGAGGAAAATGATTGAATAAATAGAAACATCAAGGAGTTAGGTAACAAGGGACATAATTTGAATAGTACCAAATAATGGAAAGAAAGGGAAGTCCAAGAGATTTCCAAGACTTTAATACCTAGACTTGATGGCATTTTGTATAGTGAGTAAAGGAAAATTGAAAAATAACTCTTAAGATTTCTAGCTGTTGAGGTTAGAAGAGTGATGGCCCTGGCCGAAATAAATACCAGAGTAAAATAATAAATTTTTAGGACAAGGTCAGGTGAGAAGGTTAGGGAAAATAAGTCTCATTCATAACTTAGGCAACATTCCAAGTGATGTCCCAGAAGTTTAGAATAAGATGTTTGCTTTCAACAAGTGATTAGTGGAGAGGTTTTTAATCATTTACTGTGTTATCTTTATTAATAATGATGTGATTTATAATAACATGAAATGATTATGTGATTATTTTTCTGAAGGCTCTACTTGAAGAGAAGCAAAAAGAAGAAAATATAGAGAAAATGAAAGAAACAGTCTCTCGGCTTGTGCAAGATGCTGCCATAAGAACCAGGAAGGAAGTAAGGAGTCTTTAAACTTTAAAAGTTTATAGAATTTCACAACCCAAGACTAAATACTACCTAAGCTTTTGCCTAATGGACCTAGCTGATTAACTATCAGCTAACCTAAACCAATTGTGCTAAATTTCAAATAAAAGTAATCTCAGGATACCCCTACCATTTGAGCTAGAGTAGGGCTGAGGTGGGGACAGAGGAAGTTGGAGAGGAGGAGAGGGGTTTAGGCTAAGAATATTGTGAAGATTAATACACCTGAAGTGTAAAATTAAAAAGAAGCCTCAAAAAGAAAATAGAAGGCATAAGAAGTAAGGGAAGAAAACCTACTGTTTGCTTGCAGAATCTTAGAGCAGCATAGGACTGGAGAAATCTGGTTTGACCTCTTTTTTTATTGGTAAAGAAACTGAAACCGTGAGAGGTTGTTGACTCACTCAAAGTTATATACAAATTAAAGCCAGAATTTATTTTTTTTAAGATTTTATTTCTTTATTTGAGAAAGAGTGAGAGAGAGAGAGAGAGAAGGAGCAGGGGGAGGGGGAGAGGGAGAAGCAGACTCCCCACTGAGCAGGGAGCCCGATCCGGGGCTCGATCCCGGTACTCTGACCTGAGCCAAAGGCAGACACGTAACTGACTGAGCCACCCAGTTAAAGCCAGAATTTAGACTCATACCTTCTCCTGGCTGTACTGAGCCCAGCATTGTTTTGATCGTATCATGCTGGCACTTGTACAATATGTGAATGTGTTGTTATTTTCAATTCTGTTATCAAGACTAAATCTGATATTTTTGTGTTAAACTAATGAATTGTTTCTTGGTTTGAATTGTGAGGCTTATGCAAATTAAAACTGGGAAATGTAAGTTTACTTTCATATAAAGAGACAAGGAATATATAACATCTATTTGCCTTTTCTTCTGGTATGGATATGAATCAATTCACAAGTGTGGTAAAGTTTGAAAGTCTAAAGTGAATTGTGGAGGAAAAAAAAGAAAAACCCATTTTAAAGATTAAAAAAACTCAAGTAACTTGCTTTAGGGTTCTCCCTCTAGAAAGTAGCAAAACTAGATGTAAATACAAGCCTGTTGATTCTAGAGCTCTCCTCTCACTCACTATGAGAAATTGTTTCCCATTAATTTTGTATTCTTTTGTTTTTAGAAATTTTCAAACTCATAAAAAGGTTAAAAGCTGTACAGTGAACACTTCTTTTCCCCTTACCCAGATAATTCTTAATGTCTTGCCATATCCATTCCATCTCTTTCTAAACATACACACACTCTTTTGCCAAACATTTGGACATTGACTGCAGGCATTATGACACTTCACTCCTAAATATTTTGGCATGTTTTTCCCCTGAGGACATTTTACTCCACAACCACACCACTATTACCATACCTTAAAAAGAAACAAAAACAAAAACATTATTTTAATCTACACTCAAATTTCCCTAAAATATCCTTGTTAGCTTTTTGGTTTTTTAAATCCAGGATCCAATCCAAATTTATGTATCATTGCATTTGACTGCTATGTCTGTGTAGTCTCCCTCAATTTAACCCAGTCCTCAGCCTTCCTCTGTGTATGACAAAGAATCCTTTGTACAATCCAGAATATTCCACATCTGGATTCATGTGACCATTTCTTCTTGATTAGACTTATGTCATTTCTGGCAGAGTGATATGTATATCTCCCACTTGGTCACATCAGGAAGCTAAAATGTAAGGTTGTGCATTGATTGAAGCTAAGCTTGACTACATGGTTAAGGTGGTAAGATCAGAACTTTCCATTTGTATACTTTATAAATAATTGGAGGAAATACTCGAAGACAGTACAGGTATACTTTCTACCAAAAACTTCATCCAGTGGTCTTAGCATCCATTGATAATCCTTGCCTGAGATAAATATTATAAGGAGTGATTACAAATGATTATATTCTATCATTTTTATACATTTGTTAGCTGTCATTTTTCAGTAAAGAAGAGTTTTCCCCTCTTTTTTAATATCATGATGGTTTCATTGGTCTTTATTTTTTTGTTATAATCCATTACCATAATTTTTTTTCTTCTCATATTGTCTCTGTAGCTTTTTTGCATAAACGATGTTCCTCTCTCATTTTGTACTTTCCCTGCCTCAAATATGGAATCAGCCACTTCTCCAAGAAACCTTGGTTATAATTTTGATATTTGTGCCAGAGACATGAATTTGCAAAACTACTGTTTTCATTTTTACTGTAATATTTACGTTAAAATGCCTTCCTATATATTCATAAAGGCTATCTATGAAATGGTTAACATAAAGGATTGAAAACTAATAATCCTTTCCTTTAAAATGAGCTCCTATAAGATAGTTGGATACACTGTATATTCCATTACTGGATAAAATAAAGGTATTCTTTTCTTACCTGTATTTTTTCTGTGGGCAGTATTATTTCTCTCCTAGACAGACTGAAGTAAACTTGTTTTAAACAGTTTCATCAGTTAAAAAAATAAAGCTAATGTGCTTGCTTTCCTCCCAAGCAACTAACTGGTAGAGTTTTCATTCCTATAAATTCTCTGTATGTTTCTTGATGCAAAAATATTCCTTAGAAATCTGTTACTTTGTCACAGGCTGAAATTACATGATTTCCTAAGATAAAATTTCTAATTTGAAGCAGAATCCAAACAAAAACCTGGGTTTTTTTAAAATCATCAATTCGTATACCATTTCTCTAGAAATCCTTGTCCTGTTCTTAGGGTTAAGAATACTGTTATCTTTGGTTGTAGTTTGAAATATTTTTGATGGGATATCTTTAAAATCTTTAATAAATTTTGTGACTTTTAGTGATAAAAATGTTTTATCAAAGTATTCATGATATGAGAAACCCTCTAATTGATTTCCTAATCCTAAAATAAATTCACGTTGGAGCACCTGGGTGGCTCAGTTGGTTAAACGTCAGACTCTTGATTTCAGCTCAAGTCATTATCTTAGGGTTGTGAGATCAACCCCCCTGACAGGCTCTGCCCTGGGAGTGAAGCTGCTTAAAATTCCTTCTCTCAGAGGAGGAGTAGGGGGACCCTCAGTTTGTCTCATCCCTTGAATACAGCTAGGTAGTTATCAAATCATTCTGAATATCTAAGGAATCAATTGGAGATCTGAGAAGAGAAAAGCTGCAAGTCTACAAGTTGAAAAGCCACCACTGTTTGGAAGGTAGGAGTTGCAGAGACTTGAATCCAAGGTTATATAGCTGAGAATATGGAGGAGGGAGGGAACCTGCTTAAGAAGGATACTGCAAAGTATTATAAGCAGAGGAGTACAAAATCAGAACTTTTAGAAGTTTGCTGCAGTGGGGGATGTCCCTGACTTAAAGGTGCTCAGGTGGTAAAGCAGGGCAGAATTCCAGATGTAACAGCATGCTCTCAAGATCCCTGAGATATATATCCATATATATACATGGATCTCCATATTATAGGGGTCCCAGAAGATGAGGAGTAGGAGAAAGGGGCAGAAGGCTTATATGAACAAATTACAGCTGAGAACCCTCTAATCTGGGGACGGAAACAGACATTCAAGTCCAGAGGGCGCAGAGAACTGCCCTCAAAATAAAAAAAATGTCACCAGCTTGACATATTATAGTGAAGCTTGCAAATTTCAAAGATAAAGAGAAAATCCTGAAGGCAGTTCAGGACAAGAGGTTCTTAACCTACAAGGGTAAACACATAAGGCTGGGAGCAGACATGTCCACAGAGACCTGGCAGGCCAGAAAGGACTGGCATGATATATTCAGCGTGCTAAGTGAGAAAATAATGCAGCCAAGAATACTTTATTGAGCAAGTCTGTCATTCAGAATAGAGGGAGAGATAGTTTCCAGGACAAACAAAAACTGAAGGAATTTATGAACACTAAACCAGCCCTGCAAGAAATATTAAAAGAGATCCTTTGAGCAGAGAGAAAGCCCAAAAGTAACAAAGACCAGAAAGGAACAGAGACAATCTACAGGAACAGCAACTTTACAAGTAATACAATGGCACTAAATTCATATCTTTCAATAATTACTTTGAAAGTAAATGGACTAAGTGCTCTAATCAAAAGACATAGAGTATCAGAATGGATTAAAAAACAAGACCCATCCATATGCTGCTTACAAGAGACTCATTTTAGATCCAGACACTTCCAGATTGAAAGTGAAGGGGTAGAGAACCATTTATCATGCTAATGGACGTCAAAGGAAAGCTGGAGTAGCCATCCTTATATCAGATAAACTAGATTTTAAACCAAAGACTGTAATAAGAGATGAAGGAGGACACCATATCATAATAAAAGGGTCTATCCAACAAGAATATCTAACAGTTGTAAATATTTATGCCCCTAACTTGGGAGCAGCCAAATATATAAACCAATTAATAACCAAATTAAAGAAACTCATTGATAATAATACAATAATAATAGGGGACTTTAACACCCCACTTACAGCAATGGACAGATCATCTAAATATCAACAAGGAAAGGACTCTGAATGACACACTGGACCAGATGGACTTAACAGATACCCTTCAGAGCATTGCATCCTAAAGCAGCAGAATTCACATTCTTCTTGAGTACGCATGGAATATTCTCCAGAAAAGATCACATACTTGGCCGCAAATCAGGTCTCAACCAGTACAAAAAGACTGAGATCATACCATGCATATTTTCAGACCACAGTGCTATAAAACTTGAAGTCAGCCACAAGAAAAAATTGGAAGGACCACAAATACATGGAGGTTAAAGAACATTCTACTAAAGAATGAATGGGTCAACCAGGAAATTAAAGAACAATTAAATACATGGAAGCAAAAAAAATGAAAACACAACAGTCCAAAAGCTTTGGGATGCAGGTGCTCCTAAGGCGTTCCTAAGAGGAAAGTATATACCAATACAGGCCTTCCTCAAGAAACAGGATAAGTCTCAAATATACAACCTAACCTTGTACCTAAAGAAGCTGGAAAGAACAGCAAATAAAGCCTAAACCAAGCAGGAGGAGAGAAATAATAAAGATTA